TTTATCTGCAATTTCGTTATCGATTATTTGATAACATGATTTACCTAATTGTCTAATATATGTACATAACAAAGTTTTAAACAAATAAATTTTAAATGATAACTTTGATATTTTCATGRATCTTTAAAACTAWTTKAAAARATTTATTTATTTGATTTCAAATCAAATWTTATTTTCTATARCAAAMATTTAATTYTTTTTATCATAACATAAATACTAAATCCATAAATAAATAATTATTAAACTGAATAAAAGTATAACAAAATCTCGCGCGAATGCGCGGATCATATTCTAGTATTTTATAATTAAATCATAATAATAAATGTTTCATGGTTAATTCAACTGAGAGTGGTAAGCCAATATTTCATGGTTGATTTAACTGCGAGTGGTAAGCCACACTTCCATAGTTTCTTAGTAGCAGTGATTCCCCAAAACGCGGTCGAGTTAATTCGGATGCGTATATTCACCCTATCAATAATTAACCGTTTTAATTACCTATCGAAATCATCATAAAATATTGAAATATGTGATTAAATCTTGGAATCAATTGATATTCAATCACAACATAACCAATCCAAACTCAAACAAGCATACATAATTCATAATCAAAGATTAAGAAACAAAGAAAACCAAACTAAAATAAGCATACATAATTCATGATCAAAGATTAATTAAGCAGAAAGAAGAGGAACACTTTCGGTTTCGGTCTCGGATTGAGGCTCGGTAATGAAAGCATTAGAGTAGGTAACTCCAGCTAGTCCACCACCAATAAGTGGACCAACCCAATAAACCCAATGTCCTGAAAAATCACAAGCCGCAATAGCTGGTCCAAAGGATCTAGCAGGGTTCATGGAACCACCAGAGAATGGGCCAGCTGTTAGAATGTTAGCACCAACGATGAGTCCGATAGCAAGTGGTGCGATGGTTCCTAGAGAGCCATTCTTGGGGTCAACGGCTGTAGCGTAAACGGTGTAGACCAATGCAAATGTGATTATGATCTCCATTACTACTCCTTGAATGGATCCTACTTCAGCCGCAACGCTATGGGTTGGAATTGCCTGCGTTTTCCAACCGATTTACTAGCGTTAGTTGATGTAATATATTCAAGAATTCCCTTTTATTGAAAAAATAAAGAAATTGTAACCAATTTTTCACATTTTTGCACAACTAATGGTAAGAAAGTAAAATTTACACAAGCCGTTAAATAATATAGCTAAAGATTAAAAAAAAATTGATCCGTAGTGAAACCTCGGATCCGTCAAAATTCGGACTTTTTGAAATCGGATATACAAATATTTAGTTTTAGTTTTTACTTCTTGAAATCAGAATTTTCCGTTTCAATTAGCATTAAAACTTTAAAATTGATGCATTCATATTTTAGCATATTTAGCACATATTTTCTTTAGTTTTTATAGTCATTATACTTTCATTTTGCATATTTCTCATCATTTTGAYTCTCATATAYAATAAGTTGAGTTTTAGAGTTTTAGATTACATTTCATTGCATTTGCATAGTCCTTGAGTCATTTATAGGTACTTTGGAGGCCAAAAACCAAAGGA